ATCCTCAGCACCACATACAAAGATGTTGTGTCCGCCGAAAACTAAAAAATAAATATAAAATTCTCTCTCTCTCTCTCTCTCTCAAAAAAAAAGAAAAAAGGTAACATATCTTTTCAGGTAAACATGTATAAAACAAAGGAATGTTTTGTTTATGTAGCCTTCACATTTGTTGGTTTCATCTGTATTGCTACAAAGTAACAATTGGGTTCTCATTATCAAAAATTATACTATAAAATTTTTGTTTGATTTGGGGGTAAAAGGCATTTGAAGCTACAGTTTCAGAATTGCAAACTGTAGATGATTTACTTGTTGGCTATGAGAGAAAAGTTAGAGAGCTTCAACATTGTTGAACAAATCCATATCTCACTTTTGCTCTGGAGCTGCATTGTTCCATAAGGTAGCTGCTACTCTGCACATGTGGCTATTTAAATAAAATTGGGTAAAACTTAGAATTCATTTCCTCCCTTATACCAGTCACAGTTCAATAGTCCTGTGGGAATGGGGACTACCATACTGGAAAACACTGACATAAAACATTTTTTCATCACAGAAATTTTTCAAGCAAGGACTCACTGCTCTAGAATAGTGGTCTGTTTGGCTTTCTAACATCATCAGCTGTGTTAGAGGTACAGAACCTGTACCTGTTTTTATGACCTTTTCTTCCCATTCTTAGGCAAAATGAGCACAGAGCTCATAGGCTTTGTCAGAGCTGATTCTCAATTGCTACCATAGCCAGCATATTACAGATCATGTTCCTGAGTTAATTAATTTAGAAATGTCTGATTTATTTCATAAGAATTAAGGCAAATAGAGAAATGGCTATAAATATATTTATTCACAATATCTGTGATAATGTTTTCATGATGTCACTTGAATAAGCACACTGAGAGATGGCCAGTGCAGATAATTTAGCTCCATTTTATCACAAGGAAACAGGCTAACAACTAACAAGGGGCAGGATAAGAAACCAGGTCTTCACAGTTCTGCTCCTGTACTCATCTCTATTCGACTGTGCTTCTGTGTATATATATTTTTTTTCTGCTACTAGGGATTGAATCCAGGGGCACTCTACTACTATACTACATTCCCAGCCATTTTATTTTTTATTTCAAGACGGGGTTTTGTTTAAATTGATCCTAAGTGGCCTTGCTCCCACCATAACATTCCTGAGTCACTGGGATTAGAGGTGTGCAGGATCATACCTGGCAAATTTAAATTTTCAGACAATGTACCAGAAAATATGGAATACTTAGGAAAAAACTGAATAGCAGACATGTAAGACCTCTTCATTGAAAACTATCAAACATTGGTGAAAGAAATTAAAAATAGAGAAATATATAACAAAGATACAATATAGTTATGAAATAGAACTAACTTTAATAAAATGACAGTTCTTCCCAACTTGATCTATAGTTTCAACACAATCCAAATAAAAATCCCAGCAAGGTTTTCATGGGTATTGATAAAATAATTCTAAAATCAATGTGAAAATGCAAACAACCTATAATGTCTAAAGTAATTTTAAAAGAACAGTAAAATTAGAATATCCAAAGTAATTTTTTAAAGAACAACAGTAAAGTTAAAGGATTTATACTATCTGATTTTAAGACTTCCTATGAGATATTGGTAATCATGACAGTATTGTGGGAAATTGAAGATGGTGTATTAGAGGAAGGCTGCATTTCTGGTTGCTCCAAATTCCTACTGCTTGAATTTCAGCAGTAAGTGGTGAAAGAGAAAATTCACTGAAATTCAGTATCAGACAGTCAGACTCTTAGAGATCCAGAAATTCAAGTTCATTGAACAAAAGACAAGAAAGAATACATGGTAGCCAAGCTAGTGGTAGCAGTAGCACCAGTTCACTGCAAAGGCAGGGTTAACAGAAACATATGGGACAAACCTGTTGAACAGAAAAGGTCTCTGAACTTAGCTGAACCAGAGGCTACACAGTAAACTGGTATTTGAAAAGCACTGGCAAGCCAGGCACAGAGACACATACCTGTAATTACAGACGCTTGGGCGGCTGAGACAGAGGATTGGGAGTTCAAATCTATTCCTGAGGCACTAAACAAGTCAGCAAAACCCTTTCTCTAAATTAAACAAAAATACAAACTAAGGCTGGGGATGTGACTCGGTGGTTGAGTGCCCCTGAGTTGAATCCCCAGTATCCCTCCCCGCCACCACCAAAAAAAAAGCACTGTTATTGAGAAGGCCACACTGCAGCTTGGCTTCAGGAGCAGCAAAATTGCCATACTGTGTGTCCTTGAATTTACCTAGCAGAATCCGATTAAAAGAGGCAGAGAGGAGATTGTACCCAGGGAGACTTGCATCCCTTTGACTCTGGTAGCTCACATGACCTGAAGAAGAGGATTGGAAAACTGAAAAGGCAGGTGTCATTATATTCAGGATCTGAAACTGGAAAGGCCACATTCTTGGGTGTAGAGTAAGAAACCTGTGGAGGGTTGGCTCCCTCACCCTACAAATAGAATCCATGGGAGGCCCCTGAGATGCAGAGATCAGCATCTGCCCAGCTCTAGGAATATGTTGGATCTGATCTCTTCCAAGCAGATGCCACCCAACATAAACCCAAAGACCTGATTAAAGCTAACCCCCAGCCAACAGACCTTCCCATTAAAAACTCTGCAACAGTCCCACCCTGGGAGTGCATTGACAGGATTCCAATTGACTGTACTTGCCATTCCATCCTACCTTCTACTGGTTAGAAGGAAAGCTGAGAATTATTTCAATCACCTTCAGTTCCAGTTGTAGCTTGGTGAGCAATATAAAAATAAACATTAAAATAGCCCTCAGCCCTTGCTCAAGACAAAATGGAAGAAAGGCTAACCTGGAATAGGCACTGGACATCCAACCTTTTTTGATTACCTCAGTGGGATCAATTTTTTCATTTTTCACTAATATTATTTCCTTCTTTTCCCCCATGGTATTCTTGCTGTGTTGATCACTGGGTTGATATACATACACACACACACACACACACACACACACACACACTTTTCTTTTTTCTCATTTTTTAAAGTTTATTTTTCTAGTTTGTCTTTTGAGGGTTAGAGTTTTTGTCTTGATTTTCTTTCACTCCTTTCTTCTCCCTGTCATAGCCAAATTCTCTTATTCTGTCTTTACTTATTTTTTTTTCTCCTCCTCCTTTGTAGGAATCACTGGCTACATCTCTTCTGCTCACATTTTGAACATTTCAAATTTTCTCTTACCTTCCTACTACATTGTCTTTTCCCTTAATGAACAATATTTTTACCATCTTCTAGAACTATTTGATTTATATGATTCCTACACTCATCGTTCATGTTGTTGCAGTTATTAGTACTGTGGTTGGCATAGTTGACACCTGCTGTTTACTTTAATGTCATACCTAGTTCATGGCTATTTGTTTTTGCTGTTAGCAATTGCTGACCCTACCATTCCTGTTTTGTGGTAATTAGCATTATAGATGTCATTAGGAATGTGGTATTTATTTTAATGCTATATATTGTTCAGTGCTATAATTTGCCCCCCACTTTACATGAGGTTCTGAGAATCTATGGGGACACTGTGAGAACATAGGGTAGAGACTGCTGTGCTAAATCCAAAATCCAGCCAAGAGACAGCCTATCTTGTTCATCAAAATTTAAACATGCTTAAACTTCAATGATACTTTAATACTAAGAATAGAAAAGACAAAACCCCAAACCAACCAGGCCCAAGTAGGAATGGGGAGGCTGCTAGGTCCCATTCATGGATATTTGTTCCTACAGCAAAAACAAAATTAACACAAAAACTGGGGGCACCACATCTACAAGGGGTTTCAATCTAAATCACTCTCATATTCCATTAGAACATACATATTTGTTAAGCATGGAAGCACAGTCACAGAGGATGTACCCCACATACCCTGCTGTGTACAGTACAATTGCTGGATCTACAAGAAGGACCCCATTCTTGTGATATCAAAAGGCAAAGTAGGATCCTCAGTCTCTGACACAATACGCATTGTATCCAAATAAGCTACTTATCACCAAAGAACTACCAGGGAAACTATATTACAAATCCCACTTGGAAATATATTGAAAATTTTACAACAATCTGATGTCCCAGAATACATTACTAAGAGAAGTGCTCCCAAAAGGCCCATATCCAAGAGTGGAAGAGAAGTCCTTCCCAACAGATGCATAAAACCCAACACAGGAATACAAGGAATATGAAAAAATAAGGTAACATGGCACTTCCTAAGGTTCATAATTCACCAGCTACTAACTACAAAGATTTGGAAATGGATGAAATAACAAATGATGAACAATAATAAAAATGATCAATGAATTCTAAAAGAACACAGAGAAACAACTAAATGAATTAAAGAAGTCAGTACCAGATATGAATGAGAAATTAAATAAGGAGATAGAGCTATTGAAAAAGAACCAAACAAATCTTGGAAATGAGGGTACAATAAATCAAATAAAAAGTTCAGTTTAAAGTCTTTGCAATAGAGTAGACCATGCTGAAGATAGAATCTCAGAACTAGAAGACAAAATGGCCAGTCACTAGAAGACAAAGTGAACATTCATACTCCATGTTTGTATAATATATCAAAATACATTCTACTGTTATGTATATCTAAAAACAAATAAAAATGAAAACTTACTAAACCAGAAAAGATAAAAGAAAATTATTAACTATGATCAGAATATTCAAGAACTCTGGGACAACATTAAGAGACCAAATTTAAGAATCCTTGGAATCTAAGCAAATTGTGAGGTGCAGCTTAAGGGCATGGATAAACTCTTCAAGAAAATAATATCAGAAAAACTTCCAACCTTGAGAATGAAGTAGAC